TGTTCTTTGGCATGTGGTGCCTTTTCGGGTGTTATTTTGGGTTGAGTGTCTCTGAAACTGGTAGACTTGTTTTGGTTCAAATTTGGAACAGCGAAAGGAAACCCTCGCAAAGTTTAGGGGACCGCTAGTTTGAGAATCCCGCTCTGATTGGAGCTTTAGTTGCGGATGTCAAATATGTTGAGTGGATCTATGTGGATCTTGTTAAGTGCGCCGAAACACGCGGCTTCAAAGAACAGGGAAGGAAGATCAGACGCGACTGAGTGAGCCTTTTCCCCGGTTCAGTCAGTCGAGTTTTGTGGTCTATTGGGAGGGACATCGGGAGACTCCGTAGCTTTCCCACACAGGGGGACTCCCCAATTCTCCCACGTCATCTTGGGGAAACAAGTGATGTTGATCGTGGCTCACGTGTGCCATTTCATTTCGGAGCTGTTTACTTCAGGTGGCAGATGCTTTGAATATGTGAACGGAAGTCGTGGCTTATTCTTTCTTGTTTAAACGATCGCGCTAGAAAATCAACTGTGGCTGGGACGTCAAGATGGATGTGTCTTTGTTCCAGAGTGGTTCCCCCCTCCAGAATCGAGCAAGCTCCTGTTCACGTGCAGGAGTGTCCTTTTGTGTTTTTTGTTTCGGAACGATCAAAAGCTGAAGCTTCATGGCCACTAAGACCTTAGCCTCATGTGCTTCCTGTTTCTTGGTGGCTCCCAGCCATTCGGTTCCTTAGCTTCTTAGCTTTTTAGCGTTTAGGGGGGTTTTCCATTTAACCCACTAAAAGTTCAACTTTTAGCGGGGGATCTGAGGACAGCCCAGGTTTGGGAGATCATTTCGTGTTCTTCAAAAATTCCTGGGATTGCCACCAAAAACAACTCGCAACTGCTGGTGTTGTCTTCCTTTCCCATGGCCCGGCCCTTTCTTCCGCAGAATTAGCTCCCCGTTTTGTGTTTTCTTGCTAATTTGGCCTTTGTTTTCCACTGGCCAGGCAACAGATCTAGTTGTTTTTTGGTCCGAACTCTGAATTCCAGCCAAGCTGTTTGATTCCTCGGGCCCGGTCGTTTTGTTTTTCAGGGGAACCCCCCCAAGAAAAACAAATGCTGAGGGAGCCCGGGAGCTGAACTTCTCGAGCTGGGGGGTGCGCACGCGAGAAGAGTACCCGCTGGTTTTGAAGCTGCCATTTTCGGAGCATAGCTTTTTATTTATATATATATATATATATAATATATGCAAGGCACAAAGCGCTGCACATACCAGTGAAGTCTGAAGGAACGTAGATCCTTGGCAGGGTACCGCATGCCTGCATATATGTAGATATACATAGTGTTATCATTGTTTATGATTATGTTTACTTGATTGTTGTTATCATTACTTTCCTCTGTTGGTTTTAAAGGGAATCAATCTTCACCATTGGACATATATGTTGTGTTTCTCCAGGGGGCGAACACGCAAATGGAAACTAAAGCTGAGATGGAACAACCATGTTGTTTTTTCCCCGGTAAAGGCACCATTCGTAGCGTTTTCCCCTCCGACCCAATTACTCATCTTATGAAAACATGCAGGGGGGAGGGAAAACAAACAAGACTTCGGAAAACTGGCAGCCTGCTCGGTCATACAATACATGCTATTCCCTCTTACGGGGGGGGGGGTATTTTTCGCCTCGAGTTTCGCTTGCCGAGATCATGCTCATTGGCCTCGCGGGGTGCGGCAAGACGCAGTCGTGCTTGGGTCTGCTGAAGTCCTTGCCCCCGGACGTCTTCACCTTCTATGCGCCTGGAGCCAGAAAGACGGGGTCTCCAAAGTCACTGTTTTGTGTGTGTGTGTGTGTTTCAGTAGACCAGATATCTAGGGGTTGAGTCCTTTTCCAGTCGTTTCAATCATTCTTTTCAAAAACCGGTTGTTGCCCCTGGGTTTTCGATGGTTTCCTGAAAAGAAGGATCCCTGAAAGAATCGTAATTTCTGTAGAAGCAATGGCAAAGGTCAGTGTTCTCTATCTCCTCTGGACTTGGCGGTTCCTGGCTTTTAGGGTTTTGAGGGGGTTTCCACTTAACCCACTTTTTTTTTACAGGGATCTGATGCCACCCAGTTTTGTTGGCTTTAAATATATAACATATTGTCTTGGCCAAAGCTATGCCATTGCTTTCACCCTGGCGAGCCGAGCTTCGCGGTGCACGCGTGCTTGTAGCGTCGAAAAAGGGAAAAGGGCGGGGTGCCAAAACTTTTGGTTGCAGTTCAAGGGGACGCCGAAATTGTGGGATGGCCATTCGAGTACGTCGCTCTCTTCTTGGTATTGGATTTTAGGGTTTGCACAATAGTCTCAACCAGAAAACTCCCACTGGCTGTCAAATGGCGGAGGGTCCCTTCATTCGCCCCCACAAGGCAGCCCTCCATTTGGTGTTTGTTTCATTGTCCCCTGTTGGTTTTACAGGGAACCTATCACTACTGGAAAATATGTTCATTTTTTCCAGGGGACTTCAGCAAATGGACCGATGGAGGTAGCTATCTTCTTGCACAATTGTTGTGCTTTTCGCCGTGTGTCATGGGCGCGTGCTCAACGCTCAAAGGCCATGAACATGAGCTACTACACGGACTCCACGCTCCTGCAGACCATGATGGAAAATCCGCTCGAGAAGAAGGCCGCAAGGGACAGGTCGAGTGGGAGTGTGTGTTGTTGAGGGTACGCTTCTTGAAGTGCCTCAAAGGGAAAGAGCAACAAGAAGCACATGTTTGTCGGGCTACGGGCCGATTTTTTTTCGCGGCCGAAGAACTCCCGGCTGGATTTCTAGGAAGCAACCCAGTAAGAATTTTGGGTCACGTTGGCTTGAGCCCCTGTTGATTGGTTCCTGTAGCAAGTCATTCCCACACAAACCAGGTAATTAATATAACAACAGAACTGGCCTATTTGGAGGGTCTGCGTAAAAATGAGTGCCCCCACAACAGTATGGGGTATTTGCAGGTTTGTTGCAAGCTAAAACTGTATTTTATCTTCGCCCATATGGGACACACATTTCGGCTTTTTTTGGCAGGCGGGCAAGTTGTACGCTCCGCCGGGGAAGCTGCAACTGATCTACTTTGTGGACGATTTGAACATGCCTGCGCTGGACAAGTACAACACGCAGCCCCTGAGACGGGCAAAGCTCCCCCTGAGACCAAGCTTGGCTTCAATGATGTCAAGTTGTTTTAGAGGTGTGGGTCTCGTTGCACTATGCTCCCAGAGAGGTATTCAGCTCAGTGCCAGATTTCCTCCATTTTTTTGGGGGAAAACCGTGTGGCTCGCCAAGTGGAAGCCCAGCTTCGAGCGACTCCTTTGGTCCGTGAAATCGTCTCAGGTCTGCCATCGAGCTCATGAAGCAGAAGCAGGACTACGGCCATTGGTATGATAGGAACAAGATTCTGATCAAGGACATCGGAAACACACAGTGCCCCTCCAGTGGCCCTTGCAGGGGCCGGGGCAAATTTAAACCTTGGGCTGGACTTTGCCTCTTTGTTTTGGACCAATTTCGGCGGAAGGAAAGCTCAGACTTGCTTGGCCAATGAACTCAGGAAGTGAGAAGCTGAGCAAAATGGTTTTGCGAGCACGCAAGGGGTTGCTTATGAGTGTCAGCCCCATCAATAGAAAGTGGTGCTTGCGCCCAGATATGACCTACTCACACACACACACACACACCCGCGCGCGCGCACAAATCTGCATTTCCACAAGCAGCGGACAAGTTCTGTGTGGAAGTCCATGGCCAATCTGGAACGCCATGTTTGCCCACCACAAGACGGGGATGGCGCGAGCCGCATTTTCCATTCACTCAATCATACGGTCTCATTTTGGGAGTTTGGTTTCACGTTCACTCGCCTTGACCTGTTCTGGGGTCTCCACAACTACTTTTTTGTGTTAGAGACTAAATATGAAATGACTTCAGAAGACTTCCATTTGTTTAAGATTGTTTATATTTTTTCCATGTTGGTTTCAAAAGGAATCGATCACTACTGGAAATATGTTTATTTGTTTCTAGGGGGCTTAAGCAAATGGAAGAAGATGCTTTCGCTTTCCAGCTGGAGGTGATGGGGTCTCTGCCCAGATAGCTTCTGGGGGTGGTGTGGAGCCGCTGCAGGGATGGTTCAGGAGGTTCCGCGGCTGTCTGGGATACCATGAGTTTTTGTCTTTGTGTACAGGTGGAGCTACGGGTACTCAGGTAACCCTTAGTTGGTGGTCTGGATTGGTGGTTTGGGGACTGGGGACCCCTTCCTCAACCACCAAACCACCAATCCAAGCCACTGCACCCAGTTACCACCATGAAAACAATGGGTGGGTTCATGTAATCACCGTAGTGTACCTCAGGATTTTTGATCCAAATTGGGTCCCAAGGCCATTCTGTTCATGGAAGCAAGGAACCCTAGAGCATGGCTAATCCTAGAGGGTAGGTGGGAACCCCTCCTTAACCACCACCAATCCAAGCCGTTCAACCCCCATTAAAAGAATGGCAAGGACCCAAATGTTGGGTCAGCAACGGTGGTTATATTAACCGAACCATTGTTTTCATGGTGGCCTGCCTGAACCCCAGAAACCAGGAGGGACACCCCTCCTTCACCACCAAACCACCGGGCTCCAAAACACCAGAAACTACCCTTCACCTCCAAACCACCCATGACTCGCCACCACCTGGCTCCAAGCCACCAAAAAGCGGGCAAGCTGACAGGTACTTGTTTTCATGGTGGCCTGCCTGAACCGTAACCCCAGAAAGAAAAAGGGGGGGAAGCTAGGTACCTGTGCTGCATGAACCCTACGGCGGGCTCCTTTGTGGTGAATCAGCGCCTCCAGCGCCACTTCTGGACCTGCGCTGTGCCCTTCCCAGAGCAGCCGGGGGCCTCAGGCCGTGGTGGCCACGGAACCCGCGAGGTTTTGCCGTCCGATGTGTTGACCGCTACCTTTTGGGTCACCCCAACACAACCCGGGTTAAACCGGATCTCCTTGAGGAACCTTGGAGCCGAAATCTGTACGGGTTTTTGTTGACCCAAGTTGCCGACCTGCCTTTTCCAAGCTGTTGCCTTTTCGTGCGGTCAAAAAGAGATGGGTGGGCCAGTGGTTTCTGGCCTTTCATCCGAGTTGCCTTTTCGCCTTTTTCTTCCTTCGACACTTTTGAGAGGTCCATGTCATGTCCATGTCACTGGATCGACTGATGGTTTTCGCCCGGCCGCCCTCGCCTCGGGTCTTCGCAGTACCAGATTGTCATCCGGGTGAGATCCGGTTTGCCTGAGTCCGGGCTATGGCTCTCTAGCTCCTTTCCTTGCGGATTCGAATGGCCCCCCCTAGTGAGATTTCAAAGAGCGAGAGTAGACTTCAATTGCGAAGATGGTTTGCTGAAGAGGGATCCAGTAAGATGGGCCAAGCCTCCATCTCGAAGAGCCCAGTTTTCCAACGCAAAAAAGGTCTTGTTTGTTGTTGTTTGTCGCCCTCAAAGGTTTGCCTTTGGCTTTTCATTTCCTTCAAGTGAGGCATTGTGTTTGCCTGTTCACCCCTTTGGTCCTTGACCGACCCAGTGGCTCCCGTCCTTTTTTTTCCGACCTTTTTGGGGGTAGGGGTTCCGATTCCTTTCAACTCAAACAAACAAAACATCGGATGCCCTTTTTCCCCATGGAACTCCAGGCATCTGAGTAAACCCAGAGCAAGTGAACTCCGCCTTCTCGGAGGGGCTCGGAGCAACGGTCTGCGCGGGACAGACGACTACAGGCTTTGAGCTGCGGCTGTTTTCAATTTGGAGGTCAAACCGCGTGGAGGTCAACGTGTTTTTTGTTTGTTTGTTTTTTTGCACGGGGAGCCCGGCAACATGCTTGGTCTTGTTTTTGTTTTTTTTTGGGGGGGGAGGGGGCATAGGGACCCATGGCGATTGGTGTCCCTTGCATTTCCCTCAACATCATGCCAGAACCCGCCCCCCCCCACTTGCCCACTTGTTCCCCGCGGTCCAAAAGGGTGCTAAGCACCGTGGGGCAAAATGCCGACTCGAGGGGAAAGCCTCGGCATGCGCAGACTCTTGCATGCGGACGGGCTTACTTGATGTCAGGTTTCGGGATGAAATAGTTCTCGCAGAACCGTGCATTTGGTTGCGAACCTCGATGCTTTTCCAGTGCATGACGGGGTGCGTTGCCTTGAAGACTGGAGTTTACAGCTTCGTAAGGGCCATGGACGTGGGCAAGACTGGATGTCCTCAAAATTGTGCAAACAAACTAGCTGCCAATGATTCGAGAAAGTGCAAGAGCGCCATATTCCCTCCCGGGCTATAGGGGATGAAGTGGTTCTTGCGTTTGGTCTTTCGAAGAACGGTAGAATCAATCAATCTCTGCTAGGGTTGATTCCCCATTCTTTTGAACCATCGTTCTTTTCCAGAACTTACCGCTTTCCCCGGGTTTCTGGAGGTCTTTTAGAAAGACTCGGATCCCTGGGTTCAGAATGGACATGGAAGCTGGCCCATCTCCTAGATCTCTGGCCTCGATGCTCAGAGCCTCAGGTCGGCCTTGCTCACCATCTACTCCACCTTCATGAAGGGCCACTTCGAGCGCTTGCCCTTCAAGGGTCCTGTGCAAGAGCAAGTCTCAGGCCAGCCTCAGATTCGTCGAACATCGAATCGAACATCGACCTGAAAGGACCTTCTGGTGTTCCAACTTTGGTCCAGGGTCAGCGTCCAACGTCTCAGGCCAAAGCGAATTTTCCTGAGATGACCTGTTTTTGGTTTTCCAACTTTGGTTTATATTCAGTCGCAGACCCAAAAGGTGAACCTTTTAGTCACAGGTTTGTTTGGCAACTGAGCCGTGGTTGGCCTGGCTAAGAGGTGAGCTGGGGCGCAGCGTTTAACCTTTAGAACCCGGGCTTCGGGCTTCCAAATCCAAACTCCGAAGCACCAACTATCCGTTGCCAGAAACAGAAACGAAAGGGGACAAGAGGCGAGCGGAGAACGGCGGGTGATGACTTGGCACGGCCCAAATAAATGGGAAATGGGGTCATGGGGGACTTGAACACCAACGTAAGCCATGATCATAGCATAGTTGTCCCTGTAAATGTTTCTTACATTTATGTCTAAGTACATGTGAGGTTGGCTTGATGTGCCCCTGAGCTCGTCTTTCTTTGAACTATCATCTACAAAAGGATTCCATGTGAGTCCTGTAGCTGCCGTTTACTCCAGGTGCAAGGTTGCTGAAGAACAGTTCTAGGGCTATCACCCCTTTGCGGCAAACCTGCGTCGATGGGAATCAGCTTCCATTGTCCTACGTGTGTTTTGCTCAAATGGCCAAAACATGTTACATGGCCATTCGACTCGCTGTTTTTGTACGTTGCGGCACGTTGCTCGCAACGGGGGTTGGCTTCCTTTCTCTCGGGGTTGTGCTTCAGCACCTTTGTGCTTCCGCTCGAAGCCGGGGCACTGGAGGACATGGCGTTTGGGCCACACAAGTTTTGACTCATCTCTGCGCTTCTCTCCATGGGTCGAATCGCGAATCGGTTGGCGTATATTTTGAGGGGTAGCCGGTCCTTCCTTCCCGCCCATGGTCATGCTGCCTCATGATCATAGAACCCTAAAAAACAGGTTCAACAAGGGATTCCTCTAACGGCTGCAAAAAGGGGAGCCAAAAGGCATTTATTGGCTTTTGACAGGCATGTGTTTGGGGTTCTTTCCGTTCTGCAACAGAGTGTGGGTGTGACTTGTGTAAACCGGGGTGTTCGGTTTTAGTAGGGTTGAAAGGAGCACAGCAACACAGGGTTCTTTGTGAGGTACGATTAGAGGGTGGTGGTTGTTTTGGGAAGCACATGGACTCAAAGAACATCCACGCAAAAGCTACAGGACTCAGAGAAACACAAGTAGACAAGTTATTTACAGTAGTTTGGTTCTTTGAGCCTCCCACAACCTCATTCTATTTTCGTTAGGCCCTTACAGTTTTGCTCAGTTGTCCAAAGGGAATGGACCTTTAGCAACTTGAGGTGATCACCTAGGTCCGCCAGCTAGGTGCCCTTTGACCAACTTTTTTGGTTGGGAGGGTTCCCCTACGAAACTAGACTACGGAAAGAAGTTGGTGCCCTTATTCTAACCGCTCAAATCTGGAGGACCTCGTCACCCTTTATTTCATGGGTCCGGGCCCGAGTTTTTTTGCCATGGCTCAGGCATCATCAAGGCAGCCCTGAGCCTGCACTCCATGGTGGCCGGGGCTCCTAGAAGTGATGCAGAATGCGCGAGCCGAGGCGGCGATTCAGAGGGAGAAAGATGTTGAAAGAGAGCGCAACCCCACGAGACTTTCGCGGACCCAGGACAACCGCCGTTTTTTGTTGTTGTTGTTTTTCTTCACAACCTGGTTTTGGTTTTAACCACCATTCAATAATTATACAAGCTGGTTGTGGCTTCCATTCAAGAGGCGCCAGGTAGAAAGTGGTTGACACACAACTTTCTATGATCCGAAGCCCTCGAGAGAGAGGTTGTTGGCTCAGGGAAAAACGACATCGCGACATCCGCAAACGCTGTGGGGATGCCTCGATTATTTCAGCTGTGTGACTTATGGTAAGTTTCTCAGAGAATCATCGGACCTTGAAAGGATGGACCAAGGGCCTTGGCCGATATCCGGAAAAGGTCGTTTTGACCATGCTGCATTTGAACCAATTTGTCAATTTTCCCAAAAGGAAACCGAAATGTGACAGGTGTGGGCCGCATATCCCAGATGTCGTTTTGACCTGCTGAATTATAACCAATTTGTCCATTTTCCCAAAAGGGACCGGAAAGCGTTTTATTTTCTTCCCCGAGCCCGTTTTTCTCGTCCCCACAATGTATTGGGTGAGGTGAGCAGCTTCCGAAAGACTGCCAGCAACTTCCACTACGAGTTGCCCGGCGAGAGCGAGTCCGGTGGATGCTTTGGATGGACGAAATTCCTGCACTCGGATACCAGGTCCCCCAGCTAGGTGCCCTTCTCTACCAACTTTTTTGGTTGGGAGGGTTCCCCTACTAAAATAGATTACAGAAAACAAAGGTACCCTTATTCTATCCTCTGTACTGGAGGACCCGGGATACCATGGGGAAACCATGGTTTGCTGGTATGTGCAGGGAATCATCATTCCAGAGTTTCGTAAGATTTCGTCCATCCACATTGCAAGCAAGCCAGCGAAACATCTAGCAGATTAGGTCTTCGGGTACCCCCTTTAAAACAAGGGAGGTTCATATAACCACCATTGTTTCCCTAAGAATTTACACCATCATCCAATTTCCGTCCTTGCCATTATTTCAATGTGCTAGGTTTTTTTTCAGTAGTGCCCTTCTCTCCCTTTTTTTTGGGGGGGGTTCCCCTAAACGATGTTCCACGGAAAGAAGTGGGTACCAACTTCTAAGCTCTCAACTCTGGAGGACCCGGGGGAAGCTCAGTTTGGGCCCGGAAGGGGATCGATCCGTGGCCCGAAAGCGGCCAAGCTCGAGGGGTAGCTTCCATGTCCATCCCTGAGCCCAGGGATCCGAGTCTTAGAAAACCTCCGGAAAGCCCAGGGAAAGTGGCTGGTGTTTGGAAAGAACGATGCTTGAACAGAATGGGGGAATCAAACCCTGGAAAAGTAGTCAGGGATGGGGATCCCATGCTCATGTCTGCCCTTGGACATCAATCCGAGAGAGGGTAGAAAGGGTTAATGATTCCTACAACAGGTCCATGTTTGTTTCTGGCACGGTGATTTAGAACCACAGTGGCTCTACAAGACAGCCTTTCCCTTTGGAGCGTTGGTGGCACTCAGGAATGAAACCCCATGGTGTATTTCAGATATTTCTATTCGAGTGTTTTTTTGCACTTCGTACACTTTCGTGCAGGGTGCACCAGCATCTTTGAACACCCTTGACCACCAAACCACCAATCCCATCAATTTGTGGGAAGCTGAACAGCTTCTTGTCAGTGACCTCGACTCATTTTTTCGGTGCCATGCTCCATATTGCAAACAACCCGTCAAGTGCCCCTGGATTAAGGGCACTAAACATATGCTGAGCAAAGAGAACGTGGCACTGCAGGTTAGGGAAACTACTCTTGCCCACCAAACCACCAATCCAAACCAGCAGAAACTACCCTTGACCACCAAACCACCAATCCAAACCACGAAAACCTACCCTTCAATCCAAACCACGAAAAGCTACCCTTGACCACCAATATCCACCAATCTCATCCAGTCCATTTTCACCCTTTTGACCCCCCAAAAGCCATCCTCAGAAGGTAATTACCAAGGGACCCTCTGGGCGGGAGTGGCAGGTTCAACATCCGGCACATGAGCGGCGTCTTCAACGGCCTGCTGCAGGCCAAGCCCGGAGAGTTCGCAGAGGCCGAGAAGGCGCCGGATAGGGCCGGGGGGGGGGGATAGGGCGGGGGGGTTCCAGGGGTTGATTCCTTTTCCATTCTTTTCAACCAGTTTGTTTGCCAAAAACAGATTCCCCATTCTTGTCAACCATCCTTGCCAAAAACCGGATTCTCCATTCTTTTCAGCCATCCTTGCAAAAATCCGGATCCGTTCTTTTTCCCTTGTCCGGAGGTAGAAATGGGGAAGGTACCCCTAGAGTTTTGGGGACGCGACCCGGGCGACCCGGGCGACGGATGGCGACGCCCAGCGAGTTTTTTTTGTTGGTATATATTTGTATATATATATATATATATGTATATGTATTTCGGCTTACCCTAGCGAGGTGGTGGTGTTTCTAGGCCTTTGGGCTCACCCAAACGGATCTTGGGAGGTCCCAAGATATCCTGGAAGCTTTTCTGGAAAGGTTGCCGGTGTGAGAGATGTATGAAAAATTGGAGTGAATTCTCTTTAAATTTCCTTCCCGAGGTGGTGGTTTTTGAGGGATTCCCAAAACGAACTCGATGTCCCTTTTTTCAGAACCTCCAAGAAGCACACGAAACACACCTCCAGCGGTTTTGGACCCAAGCAGAGGTGGTTTGGTGAGCCCACTTGGCCCCTTCAAAGAGCCCCAAGAAGGGCCCCCGAAGAACCTCCATTTTGCTTAAGAGTATTCATTTTCCCTTGTTGGGTTGAAAAGGATTTGTTTCACTACTGGAAATATGTTTTTTTGGTTTTAGTGGGAATTTATCACTGGAAATATGTGTTAAATCTTTTTCAGGGGACTTGATCAAATGGAAGAGAAGACGCAGCAGTGCTCCTGTGGCGGTGTCGCGACACACGCGCGCCAGGTGGTGCTTTTGTGGATCCACGAGAGCGAGCGCATCTACGGGGATCGCCTGGTGAGCCCCGGCGACCTGAAGAAGTACCGGGCCCTGGCGGCGGACCTCAGCAAGAAGATGTTCGGCCCCTCGTCCGTGGAAAACGAACAAATCCGCACGGTGGACGGGCAAAAAGTCGGATTCGAAGAAGGCCGGAAAAGCGGAGAAGTAGTTCGGACGGGGTGCCTATTTATATATAGCATATATATATATATTATATATTATATATATATATGGATATGTGGGTGTGCATGTGTGTGGTGTGCATGGTTGTGGTCTGCATTTGTGTGTGTGTGTGTCTTTGTTTGTTTGTGTGTGTTGTGTGTTGTGTGTTGTGTGTTGTGTGTTGTGTGTTGTGTGTGTTGTGTGTCTGTGTGTGTGTGTGTGTGTTGTGTGTTGTGTGTTGTGTGTGTGTGTGTGTGTGTGTGTGGTGTGTGTGTGTGTGTGTGTGTGGTGTGTGGTGTGTGGTGTGTGGTGTGTGGTGTGTGTGTGTGTGTGTGTGTGTGTGTGTGTGTGGGTGTGTGTGTGTGTGTGTGTGTGTGTGTGTGTGTGTGTGTGTGTGTGTGTGTGTGTGTGTGTGTGTGTGTGTGTGTGTGTGTGTGTTTGTTTCTTGATTTTTCGAGGGTTTCCTTGTCAGATTGCTTTCGAGGGAAACCAATTGGAACAGAACGCTGTGATTCTCTTTGGATGCCCTATTTTGAACAGTTTAAAGATAGGAGCCCCAAAATGATTGGCTTCCTTCGGGTGATTCCCTTTAAACCAACCGCAAAGTCCCCAAATTTCTCGGCCCCTAACCAGAGGATCCCTGGGGCACAAGGAAGGGAGGGAATCTCCAGCTTTGGACGCCGTCCCGGTTTTGGTCTGGTCAAAAGACCAACTAGGTTTCCCGGTACTGCCCTTCTTTCCCCTATTTTGGCTGGGAGGGTTCCCCTACTCAAAGACTTTAGAAAAAAGGGTACCCTTATTCTAACGTCTCTACTCAAGAACCTAGCAAAAAGTCCAAGCAACCTCCGGGTCCGAGTCGGTAATTGTGTTAAGATTTGGATGAGTAGGTGTTGTAAACCCAGACAGGAAGAACTCAATCGACACTTGAATTATTCAGGAGCTATAGTGTTTTGACGCCTGAAAAGATTGGGAACTCTCAACTAGTGGTTGATTATTTCCCAACCACCTCGCTTTAAGTCGGCCTTGGGAGTTATCGGAATAATGGTGCCAAGACTTTCCAACCACGGGGACAAACGCACGCACATCAAACGGAGACGTATCAGTCGAGGCAAGTTCAACTTCGCCAAGTACTTCCAGGAGAAGAACCCTGAGCCGCTGGTCTTTGCTCCCTTCTCCAAGGGTATCCAGGAGATGGATGGAGGAGGCCCTTGAGATTCTCTCCGGGCCCGGGAGACGCCAAAAAGGGCAGGTCTGGGCAAAGCGAGTTTCCGGCAAGAATGTTAGACTCTAAAGCGGTTGCTGGAAAATATGCGATGTAGGCCCGCGCGGGCTGGATAATACACGGCATGTATGGCAAGTTTCCCACATCTACCCTCCATACATGGGTGAACTGTTGGTGCACATTGCCTACATGGAGTGTGTGGGGGGAGATGCAACGCTCAAGTTCGACACGTGTGTTCGCTCTTCATCGGATTTGTCCGCGTGGACTTTTTGCTGCCTCACATAAATAGTTTTATACTTCAGGGATGACCCCCTGCCCCCAATATAGCAACCATGGTTCTGGAGTACTCTTGGTGTAACCCGCGTTCGGTCTCTTTTCAAGAGACCGGCGGACTGTGGTCGTGCACAATTTTTGTGTGGTTTTGAGGCTTGATCTCTTATCAGGGCTTTTCGCCTGTTCTGCTTTTCAAGGGGCCCGCGTTGCAGCTGCGCAGTTTCAAGCCCCCCCCCCCCCCCCTTGGAGGCTTCTATGACAAGATCCCGAGCACAGAACGGCTGAGCCAGTTGCTTGGGGACGCGCTGAGGGAGCATCTTGGAGCGCAAGGGTTTGGCGGGTTTGGCACCGATGTTGGAGTCATACCCGGGTAGCAGATTTGGAGCCATGGGTGTCCATTTTGGCTGGTTTGCTAGAAAAATCGATGGCTCTGGTTTGCCTGGTGGTTTAATCATCTACCAGGGCCATCTATTTCCCCTAAAGGGACACCTATGTTTGGAGCCACGTTCTGAAGCATAAGCAGCATTTGGTAAGCAGGGCACTGATCCGTCGAAGTGGGCAGCCGAGGCCTCTTTCTTATGGGGACAAATTGAGAAAAGTGTTGAACAAAGGGTGGGAACGAGTTGGGAACATGTTGGGACAAAGAGTGGACAAAAGGCTGGGACAAAGGTTAGAGAAAGTTGGGAAAGGGTCTTTGGGCAAAGGTTGGGAACAAGTTGGGCAAAGGTTGGGAACAAGTTGGGAAAATGTTGGGAGAATGTTGAAAAAAGGTGGGAACAAGTTGGGAAAAGGTTGGGACAAGTTGGGGAGCCGTTGCAAACAGGGGAAAGCTTCGGACAAGTTGGGAAATGCGTGGAAGAAGAGCTGGGAAACGGTTGCGAACAAGTTGATGCTGGAAAGACTTTTCTGATATGAGTGGAAAAGCGGCTGCTGTAAGGGCCTTGCAGGGCTGGCACTGTGCGTTTTTGTTTGGGGGGGGGGCAGCTCTTTGGAGGGATTTTCCATCATTTTTCAGGATCTATCTTTTCGTGGGGATTGCATAGCTTCTTGTGGTTTTCTCTGGTTTGTTGTGCCTAAAAACAGTTTCCAAAGGGACTTTTCTTGAAACGGTATGACTGGTACGCCTTTGAATTTGGACAATACTGATTGCACTGGCATGCTTCACGCATGATACCCATTTGTGACTTGTTACAGACCATTGAAAGCAGATGAGTAATTCCTGCATTTACTTCAGCCAAGGTACAATGAGAACAACGCCGCGATGGACTTGGTGGTTGCCTTAGCTATCCTTCAAAGACATAGGGCTTATTAGCTGATGCCACGCAAGTCCCTTGTTTTTGAGGTTGCCATTCGGATGTGTCCCCCAGCTAAGACTTCTCCAAATGTTTGTTGTTCGATTCTCACAAGAGCTTAGACACACCCGCTTGTCCCGAGCTGCTTGCGGCCAAAAGGCTGAATCAACTTGTTCAGCCACAAGTTGAATAATGTTGCGGTCTGCCACATGGAGTCGAATGTTTCAGTAGATAAACCGTGGAAGCTCAGACACGGTGCAAGCGAAAAGAAGTTAACAGAGTCCAAACTACGGGCCATGTTCAATATTTTGAGAAGCAAGCGCACGTGACGTGAGGTGCTCTTCAATGATGCTATGTGCCACGTGGGCAAGATTTGCCGCATCATCACCTCGACCCCTGGACACCCGCTGTTGGTGGGTGTGGGCGGCAGTGGCCGACAGAGCTTGTCGCGGCTCTCTTCATACACCTGCCTGTACCAAACCATGATGATCGTCATCAGCGGCTTGGACTCCTTTGACTGCCATCATGTCTGGGGGGAAGGGAGGGGGAGGGGATGGGGGAGGGAGCCCAAGTTAGCTCTTACTAAGCCCTGGCCTTATTTAGGCTTTCTTCCTCATCAGCCCCCATGATGTTACGGGGGGGGGAATAATTGCCACTTTTGATTGAGTCCCCAATGTGACGATTTTGAGGCGATTAGGAGTAGCCCTGCTGCCTTTCTGTGGAGCTGGTCTTGAGCATGGCGCCGAAGCGCACGCGCACAAATTGGCTTCTGGCTTCTTTTTTCGGATTGCCTATCCGACTTTTTTCACTGGCTAGATAGCCCATTTTCCTCAGATGCTCTAGCCTCTAGCTCGCAGCCAGCATGCTGGCAACTACAGGTCTGCATTGCTGAGGCGGGAACTACGGCATGAACGATCTGAAGGGTGACCTTCAAGCCATGTACACAAAAGCCGGCGTCAAGGACGAGGGCGTGCTTTTCCTGTTCACTGATGGCCAGATTACAAACGAGAAGTTCTTGGTCTTCATCAACGATCTCTTGGCCTCCGGTTTCTCGCCCGCACAGTTCCAGTGAACTCCTGGCATTTTGTTGTTTGTCCAGCGCGAACACATGGCCAATGGCAGCCCCCTCTCATGGGTCAACAGTCCAATCAACAGTTGCAATACGAGGCTCCAGCCATAGGCATCACCTTTCGGAGCAACATGTGTCCTGAAGGACATGTAAGCAGCTTGGATCCGAGTCCCAAGTTTGGCGTCAGCCTTGTAAGAGGCGATCCATCCATTCCGAATGCAAATGCAAAGAAGGACGGAAGCAAGGAAGCAAGGAAGCAAGGAAGCAAGAAAGGAGGGGATGAGGGGATGACGGGAGGAAGGGAGGAAGCAAGGAAGGAAGGTGCTTGCTGCACTGGGGAGCGGTCCCCCCCTCGCCCGCCTGCATTTTTCATTGCGCACTAGTTCTTACCTTGTCGATGCTGTTGTTTGTGCCGGCGTCCCTCGTGGTTGGGGGGGGCGGCAAAAAGTTATTTATTCAATTCAAGCGCAGATATTATTAAACATTGAGCAAATACCTATGCTGCAACGAACAGAAACAAAGGCATGGCCAGGCTTGGTTTCGGGTGTGTGGGGGATGGGTTTACGGTGGGTGTGGGGGATGGGTTTACGGTGAGTTGGTTTAGGGTGTTGATTGGTTTGGGGTGGGTTTAGAGCGGGTTTAGGGAGGGATGAAGGTGGGTTTACGATGGGTTTATACTCATCCTAAACCCATTTAAACCCACCGTAAACCACTGTACACCCACCCTTAACCCACCCAAAAGCCTCCCTTACACCCACCCTGAACCCACCCTAAGCCAAGCAACCCCAGCCATGCCCGACTAGTTTGTTTCTGATGTCTAACAAGCTTTTGGTTGATCCCGCAGTTGCCAGTCTGTTTACAGTGTTTTGCAGCAACATGGCTCCCAACAAGTTATTTGTTGATGCTGAATATGTTGTTTGATTGATTTATTAGAAACATGTTCCTTTATGTTGTTGTTTGATGCCTCACCCCCAGGAAAGGGTATGACCTTGTTTTTCCTTCCAAAGTTCAAACTGCACCCCCAAACCAAAGACTAAACAGCCAATATGGTTTCAGCAGATGCGTGGCAAGCAAGCAACCGCATGTTTTGCAATTCACAACCGGTGCTCGGGTTTCCTGTGACAACGACTACGATTTTCCTCTCCAAACTTGTCAAGGATCCCGCAAGCCTTCGACCCGCAGGGTTTGCGATGATTTCCATGCCTGAGGGCTCCTTATAGTTTGCCCTGGGGCTGTTGGATCAAAATTTGAGGATTTTTGGGAAGATTGGTTGGCCGTGTTGGTTCTGGCCTCTGGGTAAAATGGGTATAGTGTCAACTTGTTTTGGCGGGAATCTGAGAAAACACCCAGGTGCCAAAACCGCTTCCCTTCAAACCCCGGTGCCAAAAACACGGCCCCAACCGCTGGATTTTTGACGTAATTACTTGACTGCTATTGGGTTGGATCTTTAGACTTTCACTTGTTGGAAAGTCAAGGCTCCCACCACTAAACCCCCCCCAAAATGGGCAACTTGCAGGGGGGGGTGCAGCAATCAAGATTAGGCGACATTGCGGACCTCTACGCCAGCGATGAGAAGGACGCCATCCGCAACGGCGTGCGCAGCGGCTGCAAGGGCGCGGGCATCCAGGCGCGCTCGCTCGAGTCGACTCAGACCGAGGCGGTTTTCGGGTTTTCGGGCGGCGAGGCGTCAAGGGGTTTTCGACGAGTGAGGTCCAATGGCACCTAGAGCTCACACACATTTGAGCGCCGGGTGCTTGTTGGGTCAATTAATAGAACCACTTCCAGCTCTGGAGTTTTACCACCCAGATCCTCCGATCGGCTTCGGCTTTCAATGCAAGACCCGACCCCGAAGCATTAGACACCCCGGGAATTGGTGGTTGGGGGTCTCAAAACCAGGTTTTGAAGGCCCTAAATCAATCGAATTGGAGCCTCTGGGAGAACTGCTCCTCTTCCAGGGAGTGTAGCTTGCTGAAACGGGGCAATATGTGTAACGCCACGTTTCGGGGGTGCGCGGCGTCTCCCAAGTGAAGGTTCCTGGCTCTTTTCCTCTTTTTAATTCGGTTGGTGAATCATGAGTCCCAACATGCATGTGCAACCTGCAAGGGTTTCGTCATCTACAGGTTAACAATGGCAGCCGCAAATATATCATGTCCAGAGGAAGCTCCATCTGACTCTCTGCTTTGGGTGCCATAATGTCCACCCACAATTAGTAAACAAAAAACAGCATGCCCAATGCCCAATACTACTTTAGAATTGACCCAATTCTAAAGTAGTATTCGAAAACCAAAACACAGAGCCCAATACTAAACACATTCTAAACTTTTCCTGACCCTGAAATTTGTCCCCTTAACTTTATTTAGGGTCATTCAGGGGGGCCCTATTTATTAAGGAGGGCCATTTTTTTAGGATGCTTTTTTTGTTCTCGTTTTGTTTAAAGGATTTGTTTTGTTTTTCAGGGTGGGTGGCTTTTCGGCTTTTTTTGCTTTTGTGGCTTTTACGTGGGTTTATGTGGCTATGCTGGGGATGTTGGCTGGACATGCGGGTGATGTTGAAAACAATGCTGATGATGTTGATGGGCTAGTGTAAAACGTACATTTCGTGAGAAAATGCTATAACGAAAATAAACAAAAAAACAAAAATATGACAAACAAACCCCAAATTAAATCTCGACCCATTTATTAATCAGAGGTGGACATTATTAGGCACCAGGAGAGTAAGAGGCCCTTCAATTGGACGTTCTTTCTTGCCTGGCACACCCACAGGTTCATGTGCTTTTGATTTTGTCTGGCGTTTCCTTCTTTTGCCTGCCTTCTGTTTGCCCTGCAGTCTTTGCGTAGGCTCCGCGTAGGCCGTGCGTAGGCATTCGCGTAGGCGTTCAAGGCATTTTGAGCACGTCGACCTTTTCTAGCAGCCAGGGTTCTCACTTGTACTGCGAAGATGAGCCGGAGTTGGCGCCTTTAGAGCAGCGTAGGCTCGCGGAGGCTTCCGCGTAGGCGTGTAAATATTTACTAGGCCCCAAACCAACAGACAAAACACTGCTCAAGTGCTTTTGAAAGGAAGTCGATGGCAACAGTCACAATGAGAGGCAGAAACCAAAAGAGCCGAAATTTGAAGCCAAAGAAGTCGCTGCGGTGGTGTATTTGGGAAGGACGAGCTTCGGGGAACGGACAAAGGGGGCCTGTGGTGGTTGAGAGCGTTTCTTGCTCACCCCCCTTGCAGTCAGCTGGGTTGCTCGTTCAAGCATACTAGGTTGGACAAGTATGATGGCCCCGGAAAAGTTTCAGGCTGTTTGTACAACTGGTAAGCCCCAAAACGGCCGGGCATAGCAACATCTGACCAGGTCATGTTGAGGATGCAGTCCAAGGGTGCAAATGAGCATGCGCTTTTTGTGAATTTCACCTGTTTTTGTCTCCGTGTAGGTTCCTTTATTGTACTCTTTTCGTACTCTTTTAGTATCCTACAGGGGTGGATCCGCAAAAACCGCATCCAAGCCGTTTGATAGAAAAATGGGCACGACTCTCGGTGGTTTCAGAACTCGTAGATTCAATCTCTGGCAGGACACGCCTGAGAACCTCTGGAGCTTCTTCATCTCCCGAATCCGCAGCTTCGGCACGGGAACAGACACCGGGGTTCAATTCTCTGTTCCTGTTCCCTCTGTTCTCTCTGTTCCCTCTGTTCCCTCTGTTCCCTCTGTTGCTTCTGTTGCCTCTGTTCTAGCCATGTTTCCTCCGTTGGGAGCCAAGGATGGACAGGAACAGGAAGGACAGAGGACTGACCACAACATAAGGGACAGATCGGAACAGCACGTCCGACCCTCGAACTGGGCTTTTCCAGGGAAACCCGTGAGCATGTTGGGGTTCCTTGGAAGCATGACCCGTTTTGAGGGTCCTGTGTTTTGGAACCATGACCCATTGTCAGATGCCACTTGACCAGAGACTAAAAACTGGTCCTCTTTTGGTATGGTAGGCTTTTGGAGAGAAACCAAAAGTCTTTTTTGGGAGGACGGTCCCTTTGTAAGAGAAGCATCCAATTATCCGTGTTTAACTTGTTCGAAATGACCGCAGGGGGGGGGGGGGGAACGAAAAGGATCCGTTTGCTGCTTGCTTTGGCCTTCGCAAGCCTTTGCGACATATGTTGCTATGCAAGGTGGTTGTTCTTGGTTACCATGATGCCAAATGTACACTAACTTGGTAACAACTTGACTGTGATGAGCTTTAGTCATTGAAAACCTCAAAGTGGTGAGTGGTTGTGTCAGCCCATTCTTAGTCATGTGTCCCCAAACTGAAAAATGAAACTCATACCCATGTCAAGTGGAGCGGGACTACCGTGAAGCCCGCCTTTTGTTTGTTGTTTTCGCGCGTTGCGTTCCGAGCTGGGGACGGGACGCCGATTTGTATTGATTCCTCCAGTTCGGTTCCTTCGGATTCCCTTGCCAGCCAACAAAGGGGTCCCCTATTGGAGAAACCATACTGAGTCATAGAAATATCAAGGGCCGTAGCAACCTATTACTGGAGGCCATTGACTCTTCAGGAACAGGGCTTGACCTGCCCATGGCTCCCTTCAGCAGAGGGTGTGCGCCTATGCTTTTGACCTCCCTGGCTGAAACCAAAAGGAGCACCACATGTTGGGTATCCAAGTGCCAATTTTAATGAGCCATATCGCCCAACAACACCATCGGCAGAATTTAGTGGGTGCTGCTAGAGCCAGGTGCAACATGGGTAAAGAAGCCATGCCTATATCCCATACAACCATATGGGTTGCGTTTTTTGAAGGCACACATTTTGGAATGCTCTTTTACTGTAAAGCCAACAGGACACCATCACAAGCCAGCGCAGGTCCTTGTTTCCCAAAAAGGACACCCCCACCACGCGTAGAACCTTAGAAGTGGAATGCTTAAAGGGAAACCAAACGGACAACCACAATTTTGGTGGGTCGGATCCCTAAAAAAAGATGTTTGTTTGGGTCGGATCCCTGAAACAGAACCATACCATTGTGGGTACGTTTCTTTTTGAAAAGCTTTTGGGACGCCTTTATAGGTTCTAACACCATTGTGTGTGTGTGTGTGTTTTTTTCTTCAAAATTTGGGACGCCTTTATATGTTCTACCTTGAAAGGGGCCTCTGAGCCTGAGGCAAGAACCTGCACATGTCCCTGTGCTTCAGTCCGGTGGGGGATGCTATGCGGAACCGCGCCCGGAAGTTCCCCGCGCTGGTGAACTGCCGCTCGGCAAAAAGGCTTTAGGATGGAGATCAGGTGAGCCGCGGCCCCCGAAACACAAAAAAGAAGGGGGATCTAGGGGTACCTGAACCCTCAAAACTCCCTGAATGGGGGAAAAATAAAACGGGGGATATTTCGAGGTACCTGAGCCCTCAAAACTCCCTGACTGAGTTCTAGCCCCAAAATTGTGGTATATACCCCAAATTTGTTTCAGGGTAGTTTGAGGGCCCAGAGTCCAGCTGGTTAGGTTGAGGGAGGAGTGGTTGTGGTTCACTCGGGGTTTATCCAGCCACTGTGATGTTTTTGGATGTTTTTGAAGGAATCCCCTCTGAATTTTGTTGGGGGGGGATGTCTTTGGGAGGCCCCTTTTATGCTTTATCACAGACGTGATTTTTTTTCTCACAGTCCCAATCAGAAATGAGTTTTTGGCTATCCGACTGGGAAACTAAAAGGAAATTGAGGGGGACCTCTAATTTGAGCAGCATCCAGATTCTTCAAGACTTGCCAGCGGCAGTATTTAGGGTCCGTGGATTTCCAAAAGTTGGGGAACCTTTAAATTGGTTCAACGGTTGTTTTGCGATTTTTGGGGAATTTCATGTGGGGGTAGGTACAAGGTGGGTGGGTAGTTGAGAACCTAGGGTTCCTTAGAGCCTTGCAGGGTTCCCCGAACGGCTAGCGTAGGGAAACCACCCCCCCTTGAACTACCTTTGTTAGGGATTGCATCGTATTTTTGTTGACGAAACAGGTCCCCCCTTTGAAGAGGCAGACAGTTTTCGGGATCCAGTTGGAAATCCAAAACGTTGCATTTTCCATTTCTCATTCCCTCTCACAAAGCGATCACCCTTTTTTCAGAGGTAGCTCCCGTGCTTTTCTCTTCCGTTTTTTTGTTTGGGTTTCCCCAAAACCTTCCCACAAAAGGGGTACTCCTGTGTTTTCGTCGGCCAGTAGTTCAGTGGCACCTTTGTTTTTCCCGGTGGCTGCCCCACTAAAAATGGTTTCCCCAAAGCGGGTTCCCGTTTTTTTCCCAGGGTCACTGAACAACTGGAGGCACCCATCAGCTCTCCCGTGTGCTTTTTGTATCATCATTTGTTTGTTGGAGATTCCCTTTTTCCAGGGTCACTGAACGTTTTCTTTTTTCTCAGCTGAACAATTGGAGGTACGGTGATCGATTGGTTCCAGCCCTGGCCCATGGACGCCCTCTACAACGTGGGCGCCAAGTTCCTGGAGCCCATCGAGCAGCTGGGCTCCCAGGCAAGCCGAGCCACGGGGAGCAGCGAGCCGAACTGCGAGCCATGAGCCATGAGCGAACATACGTAAGGGTTCATTCTGAAAGGGATTTGGGTGTGGCTCAAAACAAAACACCTAGGGTTACGCAGGTTTCAGTCTTGGGTTCCATTTGGCAAGGTGCCATGTTGGTACATTTATTTGATTTCTGCCCCCTATGAATCAACCAGTGGACTTATACATCCTGGGTCAACATGAACTAAATAGTGACCACAAAACCCTTTTTCCCTATGATAGGTGCTAGTTCCCTGGTTTAATGAATCTGCGTTATAGTGTATCCTATACAAACCTGCAGGCGCGCTGTTCATTTAGCTTTCCACATTCAGACTGTGAAGCTCGCTTGTTCCGATTATCCCTTACAACCTTCCAGCAGACTCCTAAGGCCATGATGCGGTCTTGCAGTTGAGGCATAGACGGAGATTGTCCCATTGGGGCACCATGAGAGAACATACACTGTAAGGGTTCATACCCCTGAACGGGTGGTTCCCAGCCACCCGGTTCCTTTTGGTGTTTGAGGTGGTCAATTCATTAGAATTAGTATTAGTATTAGGATTATTATTATTAATAGTATTTTGTTTTTTCCGCTTGTAGGGTTTGGTGGTAGTTTGTACTAAACCAAAAGTTAAAAAGGAGATCTGGAAACAGCGGAACAGCCCAGGTCTCGTTGCCCAGCAACACTTTGCAGCCGGGGATTTATCCCGGCCATGAACACAGCAAGCCTTTTGAGGGGAGTCTACACGAATTATCCACAAGTCTTTGCTTCCCAAACGCAAACCAGACTGTGTTTCAATACCCCGTAAAACGGGTGGCGGCCCCCTAAAAGCGGCTGGCTTTCCTTAAGCCTCTTGAGCCAGCCCAAAGGGTAGCCTCATTTAGCCCGACGGCAGACACTGGAAATTGGAGCCCAAGCAAGTCCCTCCAATTTACCTCCCTTTCCAAGCTCGCCCGCCCCCTTTTCTACCCTATTCATCCCCTACCAAAGTACCGACATGTGGCCGTGAGTCAAACAAAGGTACTCTTTTAACGGCTTGCCCTGGCAAAAGGAAACAAGGACTAGAACCTGCGGTCTGATGATTGATTTTTGACCCATACCCATGTGGGGGTGTCTTTCGTTGAGGGTACCCCTTTTTTCGGTTGATTCAATTGGAAACCAAAGGAAACCAGCCAGTTTGGGGGGGTCCCCTAAAAAAAAGACATCCCCACGACCGACCCCAGGCCTTTCCGTTTTCGCGCTCGAACGACAGGACAGCCCCGTGCGGCAGGGCATCATGGACTTCTTGCCTTTCAGCTTTGAAGCCGCAGGACGGCGATACGTCGCTCCCTAAAAACCCGTTGAGACCCAACAGATCCGCCGAACGAAAGGAGGGCACCCTTTCCTCCGGACACTTACACCGGAGCTACTTGATTCACGCCTGTTTCAGGCATTGTGTTCACTGTCCCTTTCAAAACGCCAGACATGTTTTAGGATAACTCCTCATCTAAGCAATTTGGACTATACCAACAAAAACATGATGTCACTCGAGCCGAAAGCCTCTGAAAGTTGTGGGGGAAAAAAACAATGGTTGGACTCCTGAAACATGATCAAACAGGTAGGTGATCGTCCATGGTTCAGTTGGTGACAATCTGGGAAGGCGGAAGCTGGCGGGACTACCCAATTCATCCGGTGAACTCGTTGCTCATGTGCTGAGGATGATTCGTTCCATGTGTTCCGGCGTGTCGCATTGTACTTGGTTTCTAAGATTAGTTGTGAGCAAGGGAGTTTGTTGTTTCATAAACTTTGTCAAGGGGAGCCAATTTTCATGACCCTTCGGAAGGGTTTCCCTGAGTCAACGAACAATTCAACCAGGAGAAAGACAGTGAACCACTTGTCCTGAGATTTGGAGAAGCCGCCAGCATCCGCCTCCCAAGAAAGAGTGAGACTTCGGGATTGCTCACAGATTTGGAGACCAAGCCATTGACTTAACTGCTATTGGGTTGGATCTTTAGACTTTAACTTGTTGGTTGAAATCAAGGGGGTTTTCCACTAAACCCCCAAAAGTTGTCAACTTTTTGCAGGCGGTCGTGGCAGCAACCAAGTTGAAACCACCCAACGGCTACTGAGCGCAGGGCAAGTGGCCACCAAGTTCATGGATGTCCAGCGGCGCTTTGCCTACACCACGCCCAAGAGCTTCCTGGAGCCTCGCTTGCCCACAGCTTCTTTCGAGCTGTTATTACCTTTTGACCTCGCCCTTGTGTCAGATTTGTTTTTTGTTTTGCAAAGATCCCAAAGGCTCAACGTCTTGGGTCCTTTCTCTCGACCTTTTTACGTTTTCACCTTTCCCTTGTTCCAGAAGAAAAATCAAATGGCCATGGTTCAAAATCAATGGTACCATTTTGGGATAGGTGCACCACACATTTTAGTCTTTATTTTAGTTGGGATTGGGATGTTCACCGGGGGGGAACCGGGATTTTGCCCCATGGCCAAATAGCTCCCAAAGGCTTATCTCGTTTGTTTGGGTCCAACTGATCCACAATCAAACCGGGTAGATGACGGTTAGCAAAAGACAATGCCAACCCTAAATAGCTGCGGATCTCCGCCTTAATTCTTGAAGCATGGTTCTGGGGTTACCATTTCAATATCGAATCGGTTTTGATCACTCAACTGAGGAGCTGATCAAGCTCTACACCTCCATGGTGGGCAACAAGGTGAATCGCACTCGTCGAGTCGAGCTCGGGATCGACGGGTTCCTGGCCCCTTGTTTTGGTCCCCAACATGGGGCCCAAAGAATTCCATGGCACGGAGAAATGAAAGAAACCAAGAAGGAACAAGGTAAAAAGAAGTCCCGTATTGCCGCACATTGCAGAATTCGTCACATCCAGGGCTTCCTGCTCACCAAACACCAACATGTGCACAAACTACTTTGGAAGACTACCTGTGAACTTCAATCTTTGTTGGTGGGATAGTATATTCTTCCTTGGCCTGGCTTTACACCATTGCCGGTAGATGCCCCTTTTTGTAGATCCAGCGCTTTTGCAAGTGGCAACTTCGGTGTTTAAAACAAGGCACATCCGTTTTGCATGTCGATCTTCCCATCTAAATCTACATCCATGAGCGAGAGTCTGAGCATCTTCGTGTTCGAGGTGCGAATGTCGCCAGACTGCCTCATGACTTGTGGCCCGAGGGTTCAACCCTTATGAAAAGAATGGCCGTGGGGCCCAATTCGGACGATGAGATTCCTTAGGTACAATTAACCTTATTGATGGGAATATTCTCAATATTAGGACCAATATTCGTGGTTATATTAGCCCCCTTTGATTAAATGGTGGATGGAACCCCAGGCCTCAGAACCAAACGATTCGTTTGGGCGGGAAGTTCAGAGAAAGGTCCTGGACGATCGCCCTGCAAGTCTCCTTTGCGTCAATTAGTTGAGGATATCGGAGGGGAGGGATCCGTTTTGTTGTTGTTGTTGTTGTTGTTGGTTTCAGCAGGTGCTTCCTGGACCTGCTTTATCATGCTTGAATTTGCGTCATCCCCACTCCTTACAAAATGTGTGCGTCCCTCCAATAAGAAATCTTCCTCAAACACGTTTCCTTTGCGGTCACAAGGGAAATGGTCTAATTCGGACTGGCCCCATGTTTTGTGGCTGGCGATTGTGTTCCCTTCAACCCCCAAACACCAAAAGGGAGCTGAACTTGTTTCAAGGAAAACAACAAACAACGACTTGTGTTTGATCATTTTGAAAACACATTTTGGGCCAACCACCAACTGTTTGGTTCCATAAACGAACCAAACTCCCTGAGGGCATCCCCTTCCGGTTCATTGTCAACATCCCGATATGCATCGCCCAGCCCAATTGCATTTGGACACTTCACCGACACAGGCCAACAGGGTTCCCTACATTTCTCCCCCCTTGGATGGTGATTAAACATCGCCTTTGCCAATCTAAGTTTATCTTTCCTTTCGGTAGGGTGATGTTTAAATGGGTTTTTTGTTTTTTTTTCTCTTTTTTTTCTAGGTGTTTGTTTAATGAGTTGGTGACCTTTTCGGGGCGGTTTAAAAGGGGACGCCACCGGAATTCCAGCCACGTGCCGAGCTTGCCAGCCTCGCCTCTCGAGGTGGATGCCCTCGAGGACCAGAAGAACCGCCTCACCAACGGCCTGGAGAAGTTGCACGCCACCTCCGAGCAGGCGGTTTCGGTTGCCAAGAGGGTCCCTTGGTACCTCCTGGGAAGAAAGAAATCTAAGTACCAAGGGAAAGAAAGTACTAGGGGACCCTCGTTGTGAGAACCGTGCGAGCATTCTTCGCCTGAGGGGGCGCTGAGTTTGTTCAGCAGGAGACCAACCATTTTGGGGGTTTGTTGGTTGGGAATGAGACCAAATGAAGTTCTCAAGGATGACCCTTTCATAGTTCTTCAACGCGACCAGAGTGTTTTTTTGTTGTAAGTTTGGAAGATTGCCGTTTCTCGCCAAAGCAGGGGCTTTGAAATCCCCGCTCCCGGGGTTCAAAGAGTATGCTCCTTTGGGAAGCAATCCTGGCGGTCGTTGGGGTAGAGCCACCTTAAGTTATGTAGGGTGTCACGTATGAATCATAGGTTAGTTAACCCCCCCTCCGTATCCCCCCCCCTCAAATGTGATTTTGAGTGGCATCGGGTCCAAAAATGAAGAAACATGTTCATTTTGAATCTTGGGCTTAGTAGGGCTTAGTAGGGCTTAGTAGGGCTTAGTAGGCCTTAGTAAGGCTTAGTAAGGCTCAATCATGTGTTTTGCTTCGAGTGCTAGCAAGGCTCAGCAGCTCTCAGTAAGACATAGCCACCACTCAAAATTGATCATGAGTGCTACTGAGTCTTGCTGAGTAGTAGGAACCGTAATGATCCCTATGTGTGCTGTCATTTTCTTAGCGGTCATTTGTGCTGCAACTGCGCCGCGCACTGAACACCTGGGAATTGAACATCAGCGGATGCAGACCTAGTAGCACTCAAAGGCACTCAATAGCAATCAGCAAGCGCTCACTAGCGTTCAGAAAGCACTCAGTAGCAGACAAAAGGCACTCAGCAGCACTCAGCAGCACTCAGCAGCACTCAGCAGCACTCAGTAACACTCAGCAGCACTCAGTAACACACAGTAACACTCAGTAACACTCAGTAACACTCAGTAGCACTCAGTAACACTCAGTAACACTCAGTAGCACTCAATCACAACCTAAAACAGCACATTTTTGAAATCCCGGCTCAGTAAGCACTCAGTAGCACTCAGTAGCACTCAGTAGCACTCAGTAACACTCAGTAACACTCAATCACAACCCAAAACAGCACATTTTGGGAATCCCGGATCAGTATACACACTCAGTAGCACTCAGTAGCACCCAGGACCTCTCAATCACCCCCCAAGAACACAGCACATGGGCGATCCAGGTTCAGTAACTATTTAGTAGCACGCAATGACGCTTTGAGCCCCGGGCAAGCTTTAACAATTCAGCTTTGCTATGCAAAATTGAAAGCAACCCCCCCCCCCCCCAACATATGCCAAATCCTTGCTGGGCTCAGTAGTGCTCAGCAACACTCGGTGAGTCTTACTGAGATTTTGACATTTGGGGGGGGGGGGATACGGGGGGGGGGTTAACTAACCTATGAATGAAAGGCCGTCCGCCGTGGACCCCAAACACTCCAGGTACGTTTGAGATGAAGAGACAGGAAGGGCTGAACATTAAAACTTTGGAAGCAAGATGCGGAATGCTATTCCTGGCTGGCCCGTTTGTGGGGGTGGCTTAGAGAGGAAACCAGCTGATCCAGGTACTACCCTGCCTCCGCATCTCGACCTGCAGCCAAGTGAGTCATGGGAAATCAGTTCACCTGCCAAGGCTTTTCCGATCGGCGGCTGGATTCAGCCAGAGATTGCAGTGCTTCGATCATGAGCAAGCAACAGCGGCTATGGTTCCTCTACGGCGATAAAACTTAGACCTCAGCTGCTGGGTCATTTTGAAGGTACCTCGACCCTCAAACTGCCCTTTATGATAAGATGTCACTCATGATTTTGGGGCTCTCATCTATGTTTAAGGGAGTGTTGAGGGTTCAGGCAAGCTTTTGGGGTGATATTTTTAAATGGGACCGACTCATCAGCGGCGTGTTTTTTTCTTCAGGGGCCGTGCAACGCGACAGGTGGCTGGTCTCGAGGAGGAGCTCAAGGAAAAGGCGGTGGTCGTGGCGGAGAAGGCGAGAGGAAATGTCTGGTTTCCGAACCCACTTAAAATCATGGGAGCTGGGGGGAAGGGAGGGGGGGGAAAGCCCAAATAAGCCTAAATAAGGCCTTTTTCAGGGCTTAACAAGGGAGTAGTTGGGCTCCCTCCCCCTCCCCTCCCTCCCCCCAGCACCCATGAAGATGTTTTTTTCCCTCTGCGGATTTTGAAGGGAATCTCTCACTTTTGGTTCTCGGGTTGTTCTTTCCAAGGAACGTATCCACAAATGGAGGAAACTGGTCGGGTCTCAGGGCTTTGTGTGTGTGTGTGTGTCACAGGTCTCCGGTCGGACAGCTTCGCTTGCTGCTCTCAGGCCGGCGCCGCGGACGTCTTCGCCAAGGAGGTGGGCGAGAAGAAGGCCACGGTGGAGGAGGAGTCGGCCAAGGCGGGGAGCGGAATGGTCCGGAGGTCTCCTAGCCTCAGGCTCCGATCGGGGCCTGGTACGCAGAACCTGGGTCTGAAAACAAGTGTTTTTGGAGCCCCAAGAACCCATCAATGAACTGGCTGGTGCGATAGGGAATGAGAATTGGAATGACACCCGATTGAAGCCATCCAACTGGTTTCGTTTAAGGGGACCAGGTTCATTCCCACGTTCCCTGAGCACCAGCAAGATAACATGGGACCTGACGTTCGGGGGGTCCTGATTTAAACCATTTTCTTGTAAAGGGACCCTTTGTCGGGTTCCATAGTTAATTGGGAAGGATAATTGTGTTTTTCCTCGGTATCGCCAGTATTGGCTGTGATTTCCAAGTGGTTTCCCTTCCGACTTTTGGTGGCAAAGCACAAGTTAAGGACTTCTTTTGGCCAACCTACTGTTGAAGTAAGGCTTGGCAGGATTTGCTAAGCTTCTGGGTGCTTCAACCCCTTGTATTACCTGTTGTTCGTTCCTTTGTCAATGTCCCGTTTCGACTGATGCCTTCTGTTTGGGGGTTGGCAAGTGGTGAACTCCGAAGTGCCCCCAGAGTCATCGCAGCATGTTAGCACAGAGCGGTGTGGAACTCGGGCGTTGAGGGCCTGAGGCGTGTGGGGCTTGAGTGGACGGAACAAAGTCGCTGCCCGGTTGTTCACTGGCACCCTCCAAAGCCATTGGTTTCTGGGAACCCCAGCCATCCGGTTCCTTAGGTTGTTAGTTTTTTAGAACTTAGTGGTAGTTTTCACTAGACAAACCACACAAAGTTAGACAGCTAGGGAGCTGGGAACAGCTGAGTTTTGGCGGTCCTCGGAAGATGGCCAACCCCATCAACATGTCCACTACAGATGGACCCTGGTTTGTCAAGGGCTGGGCAAAGCAAATGAGATGACCGAGCCCTGGTCCAAGGAAAATCAAACGGGGGTTTATCAATATGCAGTTAGGGCCCAGTGGTTGCCCGAATGGTCACCATTTTTTTCTCGGAGCTTTGATCCCTCAAATGATTCTATATGGATCTGTCGTTCTGTTTTGGGGGGTACCCTCTTTTTTGTTGGTTGTTTAAAGGGAACCTCAAAAGGAAGACCAAGCCATATACTAGGTTCTATCACGGTTTTTGGCCCGACCCGTTACTGCCATTTGTTGGGTCTTTAACCTTTATGTTGTTCGGATCATACGTTGGTAACCTTCAACTTTTAAATTGTTGGAACTCTGTGTGTGTGTGTTTCCCAATGACCACCAAGCTTCAGTTGGCAACTGCGGTGTTACTTTGTTTGGTGCCCCTGTCTTCCATGTAGATAGACGAACTCCATTTCGCACCACCTAAGAACCCTGGAATCATGCCCCTGTAAATACCAACAATTATGGATTCAACCATAGTTTCTTAGGTGCGAAATGGATTTCGCGTCCATCCACCCCAGAGGGTCCAAGTACCTTCTAAGGATGTACTTAGACCCCTTTTGACCCCTCAAAAACCGTCTTTAGAAGGTACTTGGATGCTGTGGGCACCGTATTTTGAGACAGGTTGTCTCGGGCCGCCTCAGGCTGCCGTGGAAGCTGAGAAGTGCGCGAAGATCGCCAAAGAGGCCGTCCCTGTCGGCGAGCGGGGGCGCGGGGCGGCTGGGGGGTTGCAGCTTCAAGGTCAGCAATTGGCGCCCTTTCTCACCATTTCTTTTTTGGTTGGGAGGGTTCCCCTACAATATTTTCTACAGAACAAAAGTTGGTACCCTTATTCTATCCTCTCAAATCTGGACCTAGGCTTAGTTGCAGCTTAGATCGGGCTAGGGCCATGTCTTTTCTCCAGCCTTTTTGGTTGCTGAAGTTATTTCTCTGAGAAAAAATCACGGATAGCAAAAACCAGCAACCAAGAAAAGGGCGGGCCATTTCCGTTTTTCTGTTTTCCGGCCATGTGTTGGTTAAGTTATTTCCTCCGACAGCTACCATCAAAGGGGCGGCGGGCTTTCAATCCACCTTGGCAAAATAGAGGGACCCCTAAAAAAGTGTATACGCCCTTGAGGGGGTTCGCTTTTGTCCCACTCAAGCGGGTTAGTGGCACCGCCACGTGCAGAGTGTGCCATAGCTTTTGCACTGGAAGCGACTCTTTGCTTTTGAAGCCCAATCTCCAGGCAACAAATTTCAGCGTCTCAGGGGCATTGTCCTTTCGGCATTGTCCTGCCTGGTTGCGGGAACTCAGTTGCCCAGTGGTCAGTGGTGCCCCTTTTTCCTATTTTTTGGAAGGCTCCCCTTTAAAGTCAACCCACACAAAAAAGAACATAAGGGTGTGTGGATGAAACCGTTCGTTGGTTTCCCTTTGTCGGGATTGGAGCTGACAGGGACGCCATCCTAATTGGAGGCTTCCCCCCACGACAAAGTCATTTGAACATGGGGCCTCCAGAACTATTGTGTCTTAGCCTAATACACTACAGATGAAACAGACTCAGCAAGAATGTGTTTGTAGGGGGACTAAATATGAAACGTCATTTGAAAGTATGTTTCTCTGTGTACCCCTCCCCCCCCTGCGCCGCGCCAACTTTTGGTTCGAGAGCAACCCGCATGGAACAACTCACGGTGGCCGAGGTTGCCGTTGCCGTTGCCGCCAGGTTTCCGTGCAGCAGGCCGATTGCGAGAAGGACCTCGCTGCGGCGATTCCTTTGGTGAAGCAAGCGGAGGCGAGGCAACTGGTCCAAAAAGCACCGGAAGTCACAGAAATCAGCGGATTTCCCGCTGGTGTCCCTAAGGACCAAACACGTGTGTCTGCAAAAACTCTGGAGAACCTCCAAAATGGCTGGCTGTTCCTTCGAATTCCCTTTGAAACGCCCCAAACCAACATTTTGACACAAACCGAGTGGGTTTGTTCTTTAAGTCCGTCACCTATCTGGGCAAAACCAGGCCCAGGAGTTGCCACGAGCGGCCGTATTGCCGTTTGCCCGAGAATCAACACAAAAAGGAGGAACACCAAGCTCACTTTCCGAGTTCCTGCACTTTAGTCACTTTTTGGGAAAGAAAATTTTAGCGGTAAATAAGAAGTTTGGATTTTTTGGAAGATAATTTTAGTGGTAAATAAGAAGTTTGGACATTTGTTTGTTGGCCAATCAGCTCAGGAACTGAGAAAGGCACCGGGCCCCCAACTTTTCGGCATTTTGAACCATGCCCCAAGCCAACTGTCCAAGCAGTAGTTGGGGGGTGTGCTGGCAAAGGCATGGCTGAGGTACTGTGGATGGACAGAATCGAATCTGCTTCTCACCACTTGATCGGTGCTTTATCCTCGATTCATATAGTTCCCTTGGGGTTTCATCCATAGGTGCGAAGTGGGCTTTGTCCAACCCAGCTCCCATGGAAATGGGCGGGGGGAGCAGACGTAGCCAGAAAACCCGGGAAGAAAAAACAGTTCCCTCCCTGCATTGCCATGCCAGCTGACAGAGGTCCCTTCAAGAGGAAACACAACGTCTAGATACCCTCCCACAGCTTCAATGTTGGTGTGAGCAAGGATATCTATTCGCTCGCTGGCGGGCGATCAAGAAAAATAACAGATTAACTCTGTGTTTGAGCATTTGGACTTCCTCGGAGTTGGGTATGAGTCCAAGCAGGAGACCCCAACAATGTTGTTTTTTTTTGTTGGTTTCCCTGTAAACCCACGTCTTCACAAGGGTACGTACTCTTAACAGAAGCACACACACACTCACACACCAAAAAAAGAAAGAACGCAAACACACGTCGCTTGCTGATCTCAATGTTCGGTGAGCTGGGTGTTCCATCATTGGGATGCTGCTGATAAGATTGATTGTTTCATTCGGGGAAAGACGCCAAGCATCGATTGGTTTTGACCCCCCATAGGCCAGGCAGTTGTTTTCCACTGGTAAGAAACCTGCCATGGTCAATGGTCAAAGGACTTGCTTGGGGTTAGAAGGGATGGTCATAGACCCGTCAGAAGCCTTGGACAACCACACGGATTCCGACTGATCGAAGCTATGAACAGGAGCCCCAAAGGAAGTCTATAGCGCAATGGTGCATCGGAACTCATTTGGCCAGATTTGGCTGCCTGCCTTCCGTGCCAGGCAGCGCTGGACGTGCTGGATAAGAAGGCTGGAGTCTCGTGTCCGTACTGTTCGTTTGTTTTACATGATCGTGTCAAAAACAGGTACCCAACATGGGTTGCCCTGGTCAATGGAGCCAAGGACTACAACCTGCGGCCCCCTGTGGTGTAAGTTTGACCCATACCTAAATCGCCTAAATAATCACTAAGGGGTGCGACATGTTCGAGTTGGACATCAGGGATTTGACCATGTGAGTCGCTCACCGTACTCGCAGCCTACTCTTGGTTTCCCCGAAAGCCACCAAAACCAGAGGGGACCAGCCCAGCAAAAGGAGAGCAACCTGGACAGTTTGCTCATGCCGGCGGAAAGAAGTAGACAGACTTGTCCATGGGAAACCGTGCAGATGAGTCGTGCTTTTTGGGAGTCTCTGGGCCGAGAGTTATAGCTTCCGGTCTCTAACTTCGCGGCCTGGTGCAGATAAAATGGGCATGGTTCTATCCGAAACCTGCGCGTGCACATCATCCCTTTGTGTTTGGTGATCTTTCATCTTCAACATACTTAAATTCAGAGCTCGCTTGGGCGAAACCTTTTGAGGCACCCAACGACTTTTCTGTGGGTTCCAATATAGTGACAAATCCGATTCTATCGCGCGGTCGCTTTTAAACTACCTGATTGGCCGAATGTTTGCCCCTCCCAAAAAAGTGGAAAAGTGGATTTGGGTTTGGTATGCACGCTCAAATGAACACAGTACATTTATGAGACCCCGAATGGCTATCAAACGGTTTGTCAAGCCACCCTTGGGCGCTTTGGCCAGCTACTCGGCTCCTCTTCGGGCATCCTTGGTTTGGGTATGGGTGTCTTTCTTTGGGGGGGTTGTTTTTGAAGGGAAGTCACAAGGAACGCCTGTTAGGTCGTCTGTTTTTGTTTTGCGGGGGGGGGGGGGGTTCGAGTTTTAAAGACACCCAAAAGGGCATACCGAAGCCATTGCCTTGCTGGTGCGACGGGGAATGACCCAGGGTATTGGGCATGAACCCAGGGATTCCCTTCCGGGAAACCAGCAGTTGGATTGTTTTCCCGGGGTCATTCCAATTCTCATTCCCTGCCTACCCCAATTTTGGAGGGACCAATTCCTATCCCTATAAATCATTTGACTGGTGGTTTCCTTTCGGGAATCCCAAAAAGGGTTCATTCCCAACACACGGACTCGTGGTCATTCCCTACTTGGATGTTCGGCCAAGTAAGTGGTTCGCCATTTGGGGTATAGCCCTCATACAAGATTATTTTCACTTGGGACTCTAAGTGGGTTAGAACAACCAGGTTACCAACAACTAGCTCGGCCAAACACCCAAGTACCCTTTCTCCAGTCGAAAAAAAAAAAAAAAAAAAAAAAAAAAAAAAAAAAAAAAAAAAAAAAAAAAAACAAACGTTAGGTTACCAACGACTAACTTGGCCGAACGATCCGATCCAGGTACCTCTCGATCCGATCCGACCGAACAAATTAACATTCCCAAACTCCCCAGGACGTTTTCGGGATCCACTGGATCACCCCCGATGCCCGGCCTCCCCACGTTTTTGGGCCAATCCACTGGATGGAAAAAGTGGCCATGGGTCTGAACATCCGATTCAATCCAACCACTAAAATAGGTTCAAAATGGGTGGTGAATTCACCAATCCCCCAAAATGGGATCCCAAAACGGTTTTGACCACCACCGCCATATAAAACAGAATCAGAAACCCGGGTAGATGAAGGTTAACTAATGGACATTCCCAACCACACATAGCTGCTGATATCCGCCTTCTTAATTCTTGAAGCATGTTTCTGGGTAGACCATTTTAATACCGGGTTTTGATTATTACTCAAGTGAGTCATTTTCTCGGTCTCGCAGGACTTCCAAGAGCTGAAGGCCTTGGCGAAGCCTCCGGGGGGCGTGGACTTGGTGCTGGAAGCCTCCATGCACCTGCAGGCCAGAGACGCGCGAGACTCGCAACTCACACCCCCCCAAACAAAGAAAACAGCGGGAGAGAAACGGGGCTTGATCAGAGAGAGAGAGAGAGAGACGGCTTGGCCAGACAGAAAGGAGCAAGATCAGCAAAGTTCAGCAAATTTCCAGACAGGAAAGCAAACATCCAGCAACATGCCAGACAGAAAATCAAAAATCCGGCAACATGCCAGACAGAAAGTCAAAATTTTTGCAAAAAGCAAAATTCCAGCAACATACCAGACACAACATCAAAATTCCTGCAACATGCCAGACGGAAAGTCAAAATTCCAGCAACATGCCAGACGGAAAGTCAAAATTCCAACATCCCAGACAGAAAGTCAAGATTTGCGTGAGCTTCCGCCACGCCCTGTGCCGATTGTTCCCCGACGAAGAGGATGCCAACACCAAGTGATGTGTGTCTGGGAAGCTCTGGACGGAGACCGTTCCAACGGCGCCGTGTTCGGCAGCAACATGCCAGACAGAAGAGCAAATTTCCAGCAACATGCCAGACAAAAAAAGATCATGCAGGCAACATACCCGCCAGAAAAACATACTCCCGGCAACACGCCAGACAGAAAGTCAACATTAAATAATTCAACCAACATGACAGACAGAAAAGCAAGATTCCAGCAACATGCCAGACAGAAAGTCAAACTTTCAGCAACACGCCAACTGAACGTCAAAATTGCAGCAACATTGCAGACAAAAAGGCAACATTCCAGCAAGATGCCAGACAGCAAGTGAAATGTTAGCAGAAAATAGCAGAGAGCTCAACGGGATACCAAGTGAATGGACCACCCAACGACTCCCTTTTGGACACCACAGGGTTTTGGAGAGGGTGTTTTGGTGTGCTGAGGGCTCATTTTTCTGAAACCTAGGAACCGAGCTCAAATGGGAGAAAGGAAGTTTCGGACTGGCGGTCCTGTTGCGTCGGGTCATTTTGGAAGACGGCGTGGTTGTGCACAGCTTGGCCCATTGAGGTCTGGATTTTATATGTTAATGCAACTGAGTTCGGCCGTTGGCCTCAAGAACGCATGCGAGACGAACACATGGCCAAACATGATTTCCATCTAGAGATCATTTGCGGTAAGACGTTTGCTGGCGATCCTGCCGCCTTTAAAACACTTAGTTTGTCACTCTCTAGCTTTGCCACGCCTGTTGACTGGCCGCGGTCATTTTGCACGGTCAGAAAGCCGGCAAAGTCAGGACCGGCTAAGCAAGGGTCCCAACACAAACAAGCTCTCAGGCTCGGGTTCCGGTTTTGGTGCTTTTCCCTATCAGGTCGCATAGATGCGACTGGTGGCCCTTGAGCCACGAGGTACATGAATGCAATGTACAAATGCCTTGGCAAGACTGTACGAACCTAATGCCTATTGGAAGACGGTCCTTTGCCTGTTTTTGAACTTTCTGATTTTCAAGCAGATTCGCCCCAAGGCACGGAGGTTGGGGGGGGGATGTGTGATGGAGCCTGCTCTAGGCTGGCTACGATGAGAATATCGAGCTGGACAAGAAGGGCGCAGTCAAGGACAGCCTGATGTGGGGCGATTGGAACCTGTGACAGATGTTTGACTCTTGAGGGTCGCTGAGCGCATGAGCACGATGTGTATATGATTCATATTGTATATATTACGTATCCGTGTTTGTTATTCACTTGGAAGAAGCAGCTACCTTCAAACACAGCCCAGACTGGCCCTGAAGTCTACGGATCAGGATTGTTTGCGAAACCAGGAAGAACAACTTGGTTTTAGGCGGACTCCCAAAATGGCCTTTGGTTGAGTCCCCATTCTCTTCAACCATCCTTCTTTTCAAAAACTAGGGTTTGGAGTTGTTTTTTGAAAGAAGGGATCCCTGGACAGAATCAAACGCAGGTTGCATTCATGCTGAGGGCGTAGCAGTCTGCATCATAGGAGGCTTTGTCAACATTTCCAGTTGGTTCATTTGGAAGGGACATGGGGAAGTTCACGATGTTTTCTCCCGAAGATCAGGAGGCTTGTTCTTTCTGTTCTCAACAAGAATCCGGTTGCACTGACCAATTGTCCCCTTATTAGAAGGGGTACCACAAAAAGAACCCCCTCAAGTCATGAGTTTTACTTGAAGGGAATCCAAGAGAAAAGCCGATGCCATGTGGGTGTGGGTCAAAATTAAACCACCAGGAATTGGACCACAAGGTTTTGGTCCATGTTGCCACTTACCAGGGCAACCCATTTTTGGGTACCTATTTTTGACTCACGGCCATGTTGGGGCCCCTCCTCTTGTCAAAAGACCCGTTTGGAGGACCCAAGCTGGAAGGGCGCCCAGAAGATGATGAACAACCCCGAGAAGTTCCTGCAGAACTTGAAAGGTGCCTCAGGGATGGGTCGGGCTATGGGTCTACTCTGCAGGTCCAGCCAAGAGGCAAACCACACTTTCGGGGGGGGGGGGGGAGTCTAGTTGCTGGTTTTTGGTATGAACCCAGGTCCGGGGTAGACTTAGGATGCATTTCACATTTCGCCAGTGACGCAAAGCGAAGCAAGCAATAAGATATACATTCTATAACTGGGCCTAACTGATAATTGTGGTCCAGCCAAGAGGAAACCCACACTCTTGGGGGAGGGGGGGGCGGGGGTCTAGTTGCTGGTTTTGGAATGAACCCGGGAGTGGTCTACTCTTTGGGGACAACAAACCTTCTGGGAGTTGCTCAAATGGGTTTCGGATCCGCTCAAGAGTCAAAGCGGTGGACCCACACTTTAGTTGGGGTTTAAAGAGAAGCCAAAATAATCCAACCATTTCAGGGAATCCTATTTTGAGAAGCAGCTGTCTTACTGCCCTGCAAGCACTGCAGATGTGCTCGTGATGTATGGTCGGTCAATCTTATGTGCGTACACATACCTACATATAGATTGACCTATTAAGTTATCACGCAAGACTTCTTCAAGATTTCTCCCAGTTGACCTGTGCGGCCTCAGCCGCCTAGGTCCCCTGTGTTCAAGTTGCCAATCGTCTCCAAGTGGGGAACCCTGCAACATGTTTTCTCCCCTGTGTCCCACCACAATCCTGGAGGCACCAGAAGGTCTAGGGCCATTAGTTGCGTTATTTGACTGTTTCTGGGGGTTGTCAAAGTCGGAAAATGGGGGTTGTTTCCCTTCAACCCACCACCTAGAACCTGACTTTGATCAAAATGGGGCCAGAAGGCACCGGGAAACCACTTGGACTCCGTGAGGCTTCAAGGGTCACATCGACGACGGCAAGGTGCCGCAGGCCAACGTGGAGAGGGCGAGCAACTGGGCTGGATCCATTTTTTGCTTCTTCTTTTTTTGGTTTATTCCAGAATCAAAAAAAACCTAATTTACACCATGTCCTACAAGGACCCATGTATGTGGGAAGGGGAGGCGGGGGGGGGACCCCAAAGAACTCATGGTGTTCCGTTTGGTTTTCCTTTCAGACCACAAAAGCAGGGTGCCTTCAAAAGAGACAGATCCATGTGTTTCATAAAGCCCCATATTTTTTTGGAGGGGTTGCTTTAAAAGGGAAACCAAAGGGTCCTCTAATTTTTCTGGATGGATTCTTTTGAATGGTTCCCTTTGTTGGGTCCCCTATTTTTTTGAAAAGAATCATCCATTTGTTGGGTCCCCGAGTCTTAGAGACCCCACCCATCTCATGGGGGCGGGGGGGGGGAGGGAAGGGGGAGGGAGCCCAAATAAGCCTAACATATGGCCTTATTAAGGGCTTAATAAGGGCTTATTTGGGCTCCCTCGCCCTCCCCTCCCCTCCCCCCGAGCCCCCATGACCATCTTTTTATTCCAAAAGAAGCCATTTCTTGGGTCTCCGATGTTTAGAGACGCACCGACCCTTTTTTTTTCCGCGAAGGAAAGATCCAGACGGCCATGGGCGACGACTTCTCCCAAGCCGGCATGTCCAAGAAGTCCTCGGCGGCCGCCGGCCTCTGCGCGCCTCGAAGACCACTTTTCGCCTGGCGCGATCAGTGGGGACTGTGGAACATGGTCCAAACCATGGGCTAAATAAGTTCACATCTCAGTCTCCACCAAAAAGCTTGGCCAATCCTGCTAAGCCTTACTTCCACAGTGGATTGGCCAGAAGAAGTCCTGAACTTGTGCTTTGCCACGAAAAGTGGGAAGGGAAACCGGATAGAAATCACAGCCAGTACTGGCGACACGGAATTGCCCTTCCACCAATTGACTATGGAACCCGACAAAGGGTCCCTTTGAAAGGAAAGTGGTCCAAGCCAGGCCTCCTCCCATCGTCAGGTCCCATGTTATCTTGCTGGTGCTCAGGGAGTGTGGGAATGGACCTGGTCCCCTTCAAGGAAACCAGCGCACCCTGAATGGCTCAAATTACCCTCCTGATTCTACAGAGACAATCCCAGACCTCCAGGAGTGCCCTATATTACTTTTTGGGATGGGAGTTTTCTTGGAAGTGGTGTTTGCTTTTTTACTAGCTCGGCCAGGGGACTGGTTGGGTGGTTGGTTGGTCGGTGGGTTGGTTGGTTGGTTGGTTGGTTGGTTGGCTGGGCGGCCGCATCCCCACCCCGGTTACTTGGTGTCAGGGCTGCGTATTGGCTAGAGTTGCTCGGGCTTAACCAGCCGTATCCTCAGCATCAGCCGCCCCGCTCGGACTCGGGCTGCGCATTGGCTTTGATTTGGTGGCAGTTGAGTTACTTGGGGCTGGTTTCCGTGAGTGTTGGGCTTGCTGAGGTATTAATGAGGGCGGTTCTTTGGTTTATTTGGGGTTCATTCAGGCTCGAAAAAGGAGCCGATATCCAGGATGCTGTTGGAAGGGTATAAGGTTGACTTTGAGCCGGTTTGGGTTGGCTTGGAGCTGATTTGCGCAAGGTGTGCGGCTGGCTGTAGGGTTGCTTTAGGGCTGTGGATATGCAAGTTTTGGGCTAGTTTTGGTGGTTTTGGTGGTTTTGGTGGTTTGGGATTGGTTGTGGGGCGTTGCCAAAAAAAACCTCAACCGGTTCCCTTTGACATTGAAAGCGGGCTCATCGGCGCTCCTTTTTTTTCCGTGGCCACTGGGGGTCTAAAAAATCGTCAGATGTCCACGCGATAGGAATCTCAATTCCAAACACAGACACTTGCTCACAGGCTGCGGTGGTGAATTCCATATCGCAACGACTTAAACTTGCAATATGTGGGAAGCCGATTGCCCCCTTGAAGTTGGCTCTTAGCTGCCAGCAGTCAACACTCTGAGCAATCAGTACCTGTGATACCCTGCTTTTATAGGAGGGTACAGCGGAAAGCCAGAGGTCAGGCCAGAGGAAGACGTCCCATTTGTTTTGATAAAACTACCAAATTACTTGCAGTCTAATATTCGTTTGGAGAGGACACCGGAGGCCCACAAGAAATCAATCCCACCCCAAGAAAGCAGAAGACCGTGCCAAGCTTTTCACTTCCTTTTGGGGCGGATCATCGCATCATGTGTGTTGAAATCCATCGAAGCAAGGACATGTGTAGGGGCTCCGTTTCCCAAGCTCCTGTATTTCGAATCTTACAAAAAGGGACATATGTAGGGAATTGTTGGTTTCCCAATATGTTGAAATCCATCAACATGGAAGTTGATGCATCGTACTTTTCCGGGACCCCTGTTTTTCTCATGTGAGCCATAATCAAAACCCGGATAATTGGAGGGTGAAAATAAAGCACAATCTGAGCCACAAATGGGTGCGGGCGCCTCTTCGCAGTTCTTTACATGGTTCTGGGCCCGTGTTACTGCCAGGTTTTGATCACTGAGGTGTGGATCATCAACATCATCATGTACTACGACGTGGTGGTGCAGGTGGAGCCCAAGCGCAACGCCCTACGGGAAGCCACGGAGACGCTGAACGCGGCCAACACCAAGCTGGCGGAGGTCAAGGAGCTGGTGCGGACGCTGGAGACCAACTTGGCGGCCCTGACTCCTGGCTTGGGGCTGGGAGTGGGAGTGGGAGTGGGGGGGGGGAGTGGGAGTGGGAGTGGGAGTGGGGGGGGAGTGAGTGGGAGGGGAGTTGGGGAGGGGGAGTGAGTGGGAGGGGAGTTGGGGAGGGGGAGTGTTGGGGGGGTGGGGAGGGCGAAAAAAAGAGAAGCCTCAGACATTCAATTTTGCCCTTGGCTGGACCTCCAAAAGTGGAGATTTGGTCGGAACCCTCCAAGAAGGTGCAATTTTGGGCCGGGATCTCCAGTGACCTCAGTGAGACACCGGGATACTCTGAAGGAATGTTTGGTGTTTGGCGGGCATGTGGCCAGTTTCCTGCAGAATGTGCTCAAAGCATGTCTTTCCTTCTTCGGCACAGGGAGCGGCTGGGGACGCATTTGTCCCAATGAGTCCAAATTTGGAAACCGGGAGGCTCCTGTCCATTTTTTTCACCAAGGTATTTGCAAGGAAGGTGAATCTTGATGTGTCTTGCCTCCAGTTGTCTGGGCTTCTGCGCATATGCCACAGACTCGGCGAGCCCTTTTCAACCTTTCGGTTTTAGGTGCTCTAGGCCCCCCAGCTAGGTGCCCTTTGACCAACTTTTTTGGTTGGGAGGGTTCCCCTACTAAAAAAGACGACGGAAAAAAAAGGTTGGTACCCTTATTCTAACCTCTTAAGTCTGGAGGACCTGCTCCTTGTTTGATCCTTTTCACCTTATGGTCATTGGTGTGACCCTGGGCCCAAGGCAACCTTAAGTAAAACCCACAGACGGCTCCATCCAACCGGACGCTCGTCCGTAGTTCCCCGTGCCTTTAGATCCCAAAGTTTCTTACGCGACGTTTTGTCACACGAACACCTGACAGGGCAGGGTTGGCCTCCCGAAAAAAAAAAAAAAAAAGAAAAAAAAAAAAAAAAGAAGAGTGGTTCTTCCAGGGAACCTACTGGTGCTATATCTTTTATAAAAAAGAAGATCAAACCCTTCTTGGATTGTGGGGATGCCCTATAATTTATCTTTTCAATCAACCAGTTAGAGAACGTGCTGCGGATTTCCCGAAAGAGATGCCGAATCCCAGGATGAAGGAATTCGACAAGGCGATGGCCGAGAAGAACGCCCTCATGGCAGATGCCGAGAAGTGCCAGTTCAAGCTGAACATGGCGCAGCGTGCGCATCTCAGAACACCAGAGAAACCCTCCAGCCAGCCCCCCCAACAACAAAGCAGGTATGGGTTTGTGTCAAAATAGAAAACACCAGCAAGCACCAGAAGAAAGTCATATAATGTCACTTTGGTATGGGTTCAAATCGGATCCTTCCAGATCATGCGGGTGCTTGTTTTGCAGTTCCTCCCTGGTTGGATTCCCAGACGTCTTTGCCATATCCCCTGAGTGACCGCCACCAACCGCCGGAACCGCAGAAACCAAGGCTTGGTGGGCGCTTTGGCTGCCAACGGGGTGATTTGGGAGCAGACCGTCGAGAACGCCGGCCAGGAGCGCTTTTGGTGCGATGCATCTGGACTCATTGCGGCAATTCATCCTTTCCACCAGATAACAGATGGAGTTCCCAAATGGGTGGTTGCACAGGGGTGAACTCACCTTGTGGAAACCAACCCTCCATTTCGAAGCGACAGAACAGGCGCAGTTTGCAAGAGATTGGAGCAGGCAATGGTCAAAACGCGAACTGTTGCGTGGGTCCAACAGGCATTGCGTGCATTGCCCACTCAAACAAGAGTGTTTGACAATCGCTATACGCGATTCTGTTATTCGCATGATGGACACAGTTGACCGCCCCAAACATCCTTTGATGTAGTCCTGGTCAGGAGCTGGTCTACATCCCTGGAGACACATTGGTTGCCTGCTCTTTCGCATCATACGTGGGTGTCTTCACGCGTCAGCAACCAGATTGTCCATTAGTCGAAGCCTCGTTGGGTTCGGACCGGGATTGTTGGTTTTCCCGGTAGACTCCTTTTACCAGTATAGAGGTAACCGCTGAACTTGCTTTCCTTTTTGTTTTTAGAGTTATACGGTTATACAGCTAAATCTGAGTCTCTGAGTTCCTGAACTTATTCTTGGGCGTTAAGACAACTTGTGGTGAACAACAACAAATGTCTTTTTTGCCCCATCCATTCAATCGGAGTGAGACATAAAATTGCTGGTTTTACTCGACAAGGTCCCTCCAGTATGTTTGCAAAGTTTCACTTTGGCTTGCCCTGCACATTTATATCCAGCTCAGCAGGTTCCTTTGGCCTTTATAATGATTATGTACAATATATTTACATATTCGGGTGAACCTGCTTTCACGTGATTTGTTACATTGCTCGAAGGGATTTGCCTTCTTGTTGCGAATCTGAATTCGTATGATGTACATATGTCGGAACAAAGTGCTCAGAGATGTTCAGAGTCTGTTCAGTGTCGTTGAAACTTTTCACGGCGTGCTGCAAAAGGATTCCTCTTCGTGATGTGAGAGTCAAGCAACTCGAACTCTGCTTTGGAGCCAGTTTTCCTGAGAATGAAGCCTCATCTCCTAACAAACGTCGACATTTGCGACCATCAAAGCTACGCACACGTCCGGCAAGGTCCGCTGGGCAGAATCATTTGTAGTTTGAGTTGTTCGTTACACAAGTAGATGTCAAAAAGATGTCGTGGCCACTTCGACGCCGTCAAAGTTCAGTAGATGTCACTGAGGTTTGTGAACTAAAGAGGTCCACACCCCAGCATCACTTGTGTTTTGACAAAGATACATAGTGATTTTCCGCTAAAAGTAAATGTCGCTCTGGTCCGTGGACCAAAGTGGTCGACGCCCCTAGCATCACCAGACTGTGGTAAAGGAAATGTTTTTCCGCTCACTAGCAGTGATTTTCACGATATTAGCTCAACATGCACTGCCGAAAGTCGTTCGGCATAAACATGATGTTTGAAATTGCACTTCTCGAGCCTGACATCGATCTGCCCGAGGTATCGCGAAGAGTGTGTGGACTCCTTTGTGCAGTACCTCACCAAGAAGGGGGTGCCACTAGGCACGGCAGTTCCATTTTCGCACACACAGCCGCGAGTGGCATTTGTTAGCGATGAAGACCCATTTCCCCGAGGATCCCGAGCTTTGTGAACTTCAAACAAAACATGCCTCGGTTCTTAGGCAGATGCTTCTGTGCACCACTTTGGGTGAGTTTGTGTCCGACTCCCATATCTCACTCCCTGAGTTCCTGGGCTTGAGTCACTTGGGACCATTTTACTGGTAAGCAACGAGCCTGGGAGCTTCTCTTGGGAAAACCAAAACCCACGCGATGGGAAGTGATGAGTATCTCACGTGTCACAACTCTCCAGGACCGAAACCCGATCCCTTGGCCGTGCTGGCCACGGATGCCGAGATGGCCGCATGGGCAGGACCCATGAACTCGGAAGCGACCGTCCGCCGGTGGTTTCTTGGTGTTTTGCAGGAAACCGATTTGGTGAAGCTCACTAAGCCCTATGAGAAATGGTAAGAATAACGTTGCTGAGACTTTTTGGGGATATCACTAACCCCTTAAGCAAAATGTAAAATGAAGCTTTTTGACAGACCTTCTTAAGGTTCCATTTTTAGTGGTTGCCTATGTTTGGCCAATCCACTCAGGAAGTGAGTATAAACAGGTATGAGCCAGCAATTGGCCGTTTTGAGTCTTTGCAGGCCGGGGTTTAGGCTTTGTAAAGGGCTGATATCCAGGATGCAAGCTTGACTTTGAGTCGGTTTGGCTTGGCTTGCTGATTTGCGCGAGGTGTGCAGCAACCGGTTTTTGCACTAGCTGGGCTAATGAACCCCAAGGCCCTTGAGAAGACTCGAAGACGTGAACGTGTTACAGCAGCTGATGGTGTCGGATAGTCGCCCCGATCAAACTGCCGTCACTTTATTACGTCGGGGGGTTGCTCTCCAAATGTCCCTGTCCATTGGGGGGCATAATGAACCTTGGCCAGGGCTCGTGTGTGTTGTGAAGCAAGTACCATTTTTTTTTTAGTACTATGGAAGGTGAGCAACAGGATTGAGGAAGATCCTCTTGAAAAGCTCCAAGCATCCGCTTCCCTGGCAGAAAGGGAAAGTCCTTTCAACCTACCCCACCCCCACACACGCGGAATCTATCTGGGGTATGGGTTTTCCGACTGGAAAAAGGGCACTTGGGTGTTCGGCCAAGTTGGTAAGTTGTTGGTAACCTAGGATATAGCCCACTTATAAGACCCCCTGAGCGGGCTTAACCTTGTTAGGGGGCATACCTTCCAGTGACTAACTACTTAACTTGGCCGAAAGTCCGAGTAGGGAATGACGATGAGTCCGGGTGTTGGGAATGAACCCTTTTTGGTTTTCCTGAAAGGAAACCACCAGTTAGATGGTTTATAGGGATAGGAATTGGTCCCTCCATAGCGAGTTCCCCCACCTCCCCAGGACAGGGCTTGCCCGCTGACCGGGTGAGTTGTGAGAACGGCGCCATCCTCTGCAACTCCCAGCGCTGGAGCCACCTGGATGCAGCTGCCTGCTTTAGAGCGAGCTCACCGATCCGGGGGCACAAAGCGCTCACCATGATCAAGGTCCTTCACTTGGGGATCCCTTAATTCAGCTTAATAGGATTATAATAAAATTTGCAGACATGAAGGGCAGAAGGGGATATTCGCAACCATGAAAGGGTGCAGCTGCCTTGAGGATTCCTTACATGGTTCTAATAGTTCTGCGTAGTCCATGTAAATACCATGAGATTCTGACTCACCTGGTTTAACTCGAAGAGGCATACCCAGAGATTCCATTTGGGT